AAAAAAAACACATTGTCTATCTTTTTCTTCTCCTCCTTCTTCTCAGAAGTAGTTCCATCCACTTCAAGTTTTATATAAAGAATAAACACCTGTGTACACATTAGTATTTGGTACAATATAATTATTTCAACAAGTGTATGAAAAAATTACTATCGATTTGAAAACTTGCCGATATTTCCGAATTTTATCAATTATTTCTGGGCTACTACAATTTATAAACAGTTTGGACCAGTTTTGGAGCATTTTCCCCCCTGCAAAAACCAAAACACTGCTGTTGTCAAATAAGTTGTTGAAAACAACAAGAATCGGACGACTGATTTGTATTCTACATTTTTTCTACAATTTTATGGACCCTAGAAACAATAGAAAAAAGATTTAGTTTGTGGAAAGTTCGATTTGGGACCAAGATTTGAGTATTACCGATTTTGGACAAATTTTCATGATTCTTCCTGATATCGAACGAACGGGCAGACATATTTGAAAACAGACAATTGATTTGAATTCTACAATTTATCTAACTAGTAAAGGCTTCAAAGTGAAACGCGTCGATTTCAAATTTGAATATACAGATCGATAGAGACCCACCTCATTTCCAAAACTTCATCTGATCAAAAAATGATGTATGGCAAAGTTGTTCAGAATGATGAGAAACAATTTTTGGGGCAGCCGCCCTTCCATTTCTCCCTCCCCTCATGGGGTTGGGGGTCTCCTGCATAGGGGTTACATTTTTTGGACCTGAAACCCAAAAATTCGGATTCTCCATACCCAAATTAGTGGGAATATGTATTTTCTCAACGGCCCACCGCACCCAGTCTCCCAGAAATTGAACTGGCAAGAATTGCCCACATCTGGGGTCAAATATTACAGAGTCAATATTCTACCATTAAGAGTGGAAATTTTGTATACAAATGTATGACCAACTATAGCTAATTTTTTTCGTACTACCTATTTGTGCCCTTGGTCACCCCATCCGAGCTCCCCTTTTGGGGGTCCCCATACAAATTTATTGAAAAACTACTTTTTCCTGCGTAAAAATCGACCCCCATGCCATAGTTTTGCGTTTTTTTATGTTTAAAATGGTATTTTACTCTAATTTGCACCTTTGGCCACCTCCCTCGAGCTCCCCTTTTGGGGGTCCCCGAACAAATTTATGCAAAAAACAATTTTTTAAAGTCAAAAACTGACCCCGAAAAAAAAATTCGTTTATTTGTGTGTAAATTGGTATATATATCCAATTTATATACATATATGTATGATGCAATTATTATTATTGTATTTTTTATCAAAATTATATATCAAAATTATATTTTTTATCAAAATGTTTCCAGAAGTTGAGAAAATTGGCAAATTGTCATCATCAACTTCCGTGTCGGTGTCCGTATTCATTCGACGAGACTTGGCAACTTCCAATAACTGATCGGCCAAATCATGGAACTGTCATTTAAGACGGTTCTCCCTTACATTTTTAGGTCTTAATTTTTTTTCAAAAGTGTTCAATATCTCCCTCTCATCTTCCATACTCAGATTTTTCTTCCAATTTAAGAATTTCCAGCAAACGCACGACTAGGTCAATACTCCGAACAGTCAATTTGAGAACGTTGACTGTTGAAATTGAAGCCGTTCAAATTTAGCATATTCAGATCGAGCTGTCTTTATTTGCAGTCACTTATTTTCTTCAATATTGAAACATTTTATTTGCAGCTGTGCTTATTTGAATATCGACAAATAAAAAATTCTTCATTCACAGTGGACGTTATGCCTATTACTTACTTGGAAAGAAATGATACACATGCGAAGGATTGTGCACATGTTTGCAGTTTGCTCTATTATTGAGAATATTGATATTTTATGTGCATAAAAAAAGTGACTGCAAATAAGAGCGACCCATTTCGATCGTGTTTAATTTATTTCATTTATTCAGATGTCGATCACATTGCCAAAATTAAGCACACGATTTGTCGAATAAATTTATGTCGAGATGCACAAAAATGATTCAGTAACGTTTTGGAATTCCAACGGAATCGATGCAATAAGCATTCAAAATGATCATAATAGTTAGAGCAAAATTGGTGTTTGTATTTACGTTGCTTGTGATTGGTCAATGGAGAGTTGAATGTGGAAATAGACAAGCTATCGACTGGTCACTTTACCAAAGAGTTCAAACCCTTCCAATTGGAATAATCCAAAATAAAAATCTGAATAAATACATGAATTTATCGGCGTCTTCGACCAACGACAACAAAGCGTTTATCAATGACCGTACCAAGGTCAAACGATCATACAACACTGAACGATGCATCAAAGATTTGAGAACGATTCAGGAAGCGTCTAGTGATGAAAAACCTAATTGGGCGAATAAAAGTAAGCAATATTCTGTATTTACAGTGGTGATTTTTTTGTCCTTAACATTTTGTTACGTAGTGTTGGGCGCATGGGGCAAGGTTTCATCTGCAGGAATTGATAAAGATTTTGGAAACTTTGATCGATGTTTCGATTTAAAAGTGAACAAATCGATGAAAATCGAAACTCAATACTGTTTGGCCGGAATTAATACAGGGATGTCCAATCTGAAAAAAATGTAAGGTATGATATTACTCCAGTGAATGTATTTTCATTTACTTTGTTCCGTTCACCGTTTTCAGTGTGCCCATTTTGTCAGAAGTGGGCATTTGTATTCCGAGTTCTTGTGCGCCGTCACTTATAGCGGCCATATTGAATGATTATTTAGACTCAAATAAAACTGTCGATATAAGTATTGGCCCAACCGACTGCCGTTTGAAAAATGACAACACAACACTTTTTTTGAGCTATAAAATATTTATGTAAGTTTCTTTTTCACCGCGACTTCATCTTGTTGGACTAACACAAAAAATCATTTTTAGTGCATTTCTAACAACGGTACTTGGTTTGGTGATTTTGAGTTCGATTTATGATATTACATACACTGTACGAGAAGGTAGGTGCAGGTGGATTTGATCCATTCAAAAATGGTCGTCAATTGATTGATATCGTATTTCATCTAGAGCCGAAAAACCCAGTGTTGCTGGCCTTTTCAGCGTACACAAATGGGAAGAATCTGTTTGCATGCAAAGCAAATCAGTCACCCAATGTAATGCCATGTTTGGATGGTATACGAGCAATCGCTGCATTATGCATAGTATCAATACATTTCGAAGTATTAATTAATCCAATAATTGGAAACACGGAGCACGATGCACCTGTTGCTGACAAAATTGGAGAGATTTTTATTAATGGTCGTTTTAGTGTGGATACATTTTTCGTCTTGAGTGCATTCCTCGCGGCTAATAAAATGCTCAACGAACATTCAAAGTTAGTGACTCATTTTGAAAACCGTTCGATTTCAACTTTTGAAGAATTGTGTTCTTTTAGAAATGGCCGACTGAACATTCCTCTGTTATACTTGCAACGCGTTCTACGCTTGTCTCCAGTGACGATAGTCATAGCACTTTTCAGCCGATTTTTATTACAATTCTGTGCAAATGGACCGGAATATAATCATTATCTTGATTTTAAAAGACAGGATTGTGAAATTGCAATGTGGGACTCATTATTGTATATAGATAATATTCGATTGAAACAGGTAGAGAAGATGCAAAGCATTTACAATATTTGTATTGTTTATTCTTCAAATGAAAATGTTAAATATTTTAAGTGTGTTCCTGGAGCCTGGTATCTGGCTGCGGATATGCAATTGTATCTCTTGACACCATTTTTGGTGCTGCTATTGCAACGTTATCCAAAACGATTCATGGGCTTTTCGTTTGCGATCGTTTCAATTGATCTTATTTTGTCATTGAATAAGGAATTTTTTGGTTTGGGAGGGTTTGTATTTCTGGCATATATTCAAATACAATAGAAAATTAACTAAATTAAATATATAAAAATCATTCAAAATTAGATACGACAAATATTTCACAACACGATCTCGCATCACACCATGGTTGATTGGAGTCAATTTTGCTTATGTTTTGTTGCAAATGCGTTCAACAAAACCTATTCGTATACCGAAGGTAATGGAAAAGTCCAACGAATGAATATTTTCAAAAATAATAAACAAATCTGCGCTCCTTTCAGCTTTTGAATAGTCTTCTATTGACTGGTTCAGTGTGTGCACTTCTGTGGTTCACACATACATATAGAAATGTAGACTTCTTATGGGAGACAAGAGCTTGGTGGTCATTATCTCTTTGCTATATCATATTTTCATGCGTAACTGGTCAGGGCGGTGTCATTAATTGGTTTTTATCGCATCCACGTTGGCAACCGATATCACGATTAAGCTTCAGTATATATCTGATTCATGTATTGGTAATCATTATTATATATGCTAACCAAAAAGTGCCATGGTGTTTTTCGACCATTACACAGGTGAATACAGTCAGCTTCCACTTTAATTCACAAATAAATAAGCAACCAAATTTCAATACATTTAGGTGCAAGAGCTGTTTTTGGTTGTATCCAGCGCTTGTGCCGTAGCTGTTGTGTTAGCATTGACAGTTGAAATGCCGATAATAAATCTAAGTCACATTTTCTTAAACAAAAATAATGATGTTAAGAAATGCACCGAAATTGTTTCAGATGCAGTTGCAATTTGTCAAGCTGATGACATTTCATTACAAGATAAACTTTGAGTAATGGTGGTGCCATGAGCTAGGGTATTATTTCGTATTAAAATTTCGGTATTTCACGTGTTGACCGCAATTTTTGTGAAAACATGTCATCACCTTGCTATTTGTTGGATGTCATGTTTTCTAAAAAATCAATAAAAATCATGATTTTATTCAAATTGGTAATGTAAGAATATTTCGTTTTCTTTATCCGTCGGAATAAATATTGAGTTAACGATACTCTGAACCATCCTCACTTATTCAACATGAAAAACTTAGCTATTCAAACTTATTATAATCCCATCGGATCGTCTTTCTCGTCGTTTTTTCCGCAAGTTAAGTAACATTTTATGAATAAGTGTGCTCACTTGAATATTTTGTATTAAAAATACTTCATTTTATCTAGGTTTTACGCGGTGTCTGTTACTTACTTTAAAAAAAACTGATTCTAAGCGTTGTCCATTTGCTTTCTCAAAGAGATAAAGCCCAAAATGTATTTTTATTATTTATCAAATTAAAAACATTTGTTATAAGGAAATGAAAATGGAAAAACAAAATTGCATATCATTTAGGACTATTACATATGGAACGTTTAGAATAAAAAAGACATCCGACAATTTTTTGGTGCCTGTTTCATTTTTGGGGTTTTGGGCTTCACTGAATTTTTAAAATGTGATAATTTTTGATGTTGAAAAGTTTGTGATTTTGAGAAAATCTTCAAATTCCCTGAAGACATCGTTTCAAAATCTTCAATCTGATCAAGTTGCTGTTCTATTAGCTTTTTGTATTTCGCCAAAATCCTCTTCTTAACGTATCTGGGTCAAACCACCATTTATTTATATCATCGTACCATCGCGGATTGTTCATGGTGTATTCATCGTGTAGCAGAGCACAAATGCGACACCATATGTATTCAAATGTTGCATGTATTTCACCCGTTCCTCTCCACTGGAAATATGAATTGTAAAGTACATCATCTTTGTCCACTTTGTGCAAATATTCTGCCAGATCTTTGGGTGTCGCAAAATCTTCGACGTAAATAAATGAATTGTATGGAAGTTGTCGTTCGTAGTCTTCTTTACGAGCGCCTAATACCACAGGAATAATCGATCTACCCAATGTGTTCCTATAGACCTTTTCCGATATGTAATCGGCGCAGTGCGAATTTTCGAATGACAAATAGAATTTATAGTCTCTCTCGAGTCGATCGTGGCAATCCGTACAATTCATCGTTCCACATGCACCATAAACATCCACCTGATCTCAATTCAAAGGCAATTTGAAACGAGAATTTTAAAATTGTTTTGAAAATTTCAGTTTACTTTTTCTTTGGTACTAGTCGATAGAAAAAAAATTAGAATTAGAGAAATGCTCACTTGAATATACTTTTGAAGTTCACGAACGTACGCATCACGGTCATTGTGAGCCTCACAATTCGACACCATCCATGCAACCAGTTTGGTTTTGTTTTTGGCAAAATTTCGGATTTGTGGCTGGTGCGTTATTCTCGGGTCATAGTACATCCACTTTGAGTATGGAATGGAAATGGTACTGTCATGTCTGTGAATTCATACGAAGAAAAAACTCAGTGAAAAAGATAATTTTTTTCAAAACGGAATGGTTCTTTGTCGCACTTCACTTTTACCTGTAGGTTATTGTCCAATTGTAAACGATGGATTCTGTTCAAAATGTGGAAGAAATCTTTATCAATCCATAGATTCATGCAATAAAGTTTCAAAATTCGAACGTACTTGGATATTTTTGTGGCCAGTGAATGGGGCTCTCAAGCCGATAGAAAGCATAAATTTGGTTTGGTGTTCGTTTTATGTTGATGCCATCAATTTGACCGGAGAACATTATAAAGTCGGCCGTTTCAGCATCGGAGCGATTCAATGAAAATGTGCATGTATCAACCGGGCATTTTCGATTGCTAAACCAATGTACCATAATTTTTTCAAAGCCTCCCCATCCATTATATAATAAAACTGTTTTATTCTTGTTTGGATTACGAGTTTCATAGTAATTTGGTGGAATGAACATCAGTTGATTTTCAAAACGATCTGAATCCGGATCTTCTTCTGGTAAAATTTTAGCATCACGTCGGCCGAGCTTCTTCGAAAATTTCGCCGGCCTAGGAAATACTTTGCCATTACTCATGTAATACGGCCTTGGTCGAACTTTAATGGGAACAGTTCTTTTCAAACGCGACAGAAGGGCATCGCTTGAAGTCGTCGATGATTTTTCTAGATTCCTAAGAACGAACCATTTTCATTGAACCGCCTGATATTCAATTCAATGGAGCAATGGTGAAATGAAAGCGAAACTTACAAAAAAATGATCAGACTGGCTAATGATACCGAAATGAATAGAACTAAGAACTTTTTCTGTCTTAAACTTGACAATGACCAGGTTTTCACTGTAAACATTTTTGTTCAATAAAGACCGTCGTTTGTACGACTTTTAAATAAATAGATTGAATCAATAAATTTTTTACTCACTTGTTGTTTCTCTTTCTTTAAATTTTTGAAACGATTATAATGGTATTGACTTTTTGGACACGTTCAAACCATTAAATCTAAAACGAACTATTCATATTTCTACGGTAAAGCCGTGATTGGTGTCTGAAACCGACTGAATTGCAATATATAATGTGATGATATGGAAATATGGAATGAAATTTTCGCTTGGTAGTTGCGTGGCAGCGAAAAATATAACAAAACGGTCAATATAATATGCAGGTGAACGACTCTCGTACAACAAACAATAGAATTATGTAAGCAAATGCAGCCCAAAAATAACGCGAGAATAAAAAAGTGTAAATACAGGTGTATTTTATATGGATCAATTGGATATTTTAAATTTTATTCATCTTGAGATACTATGAGTACTAATACTTACTAAATCACGTTTCATGACGGGATTTAATGCTTTGATACTTCACTTAAGTCGATCAACTAAAAAATGTTGATGATAAGTAAACAATACAAGAATCATAGAATCACTATATAGTGTCCAATGTCCATGGACAGTGTCCATAGTTTCTATTTGTTTTTACAGTTTTTAATTCCTTTATTTTGTTGTTGTCCTTAGTGTTTTGTGTCGAAATTGAAAAGAAATGATTTTGAATATTGATGGATGTAGTAAAATCGGATTAAATGTTATATCCGTATTTTCTGCGATTTTTAAAGAAGATTTCCTTCAAGCATACACATTCGGAAGTACAAAATACCATTTTCTAGCATTTTAATATGAAATTACAATAGTTGGCGATATTTATTTTGATGTTTTTTCATTAGACATTAGGAATGTCAATTTGATGTTCGTGATGATCATATAGAAATTATACTTATACTGCGTCTATTTTTTCAGAAACATCCAGAAAATACAACATTCAACAAATTGCAACAGCCTCTAGAACATTTTGGTTACTTTGTCTAAGATTGGACATTGTTTTTATTTTTGTATAAGAAAATGTGACTCAAGTTTATTATCGGCATTTCAATTGTCAATGCTAGCACCACAGCAACGGCACAAGAAGTGAATGCAACCAAAAACAGTTCCTGCACCTAAATTTGTTGAAATTGTATTGTTTATTTAACTATGAATTGAAGTAGAAGTCAAATGTATTCACCTGTGTGATAGCCGAAAAATACCACGGCACTTTTTGGTTAGCGAATATAATCCAGATAACCGTTTGATGAATAAGATATATATTGAAGCTTAACCGTGATATTGGTTGCCACCTTGGATGCGATATAAACCAATTAATGATACCGCCTTGGCCAGTTACACATGAAAATATGATATAACAGAGAGATAATGACCACCAAGCTCTTCCCCTCCAAAAGAGGTCATTTACACTTCGAAACGTATATGTTAACAACAGAAATACACCAACTGATCCT